TAACACGCGTGTTATTCAGCTGAACTTTGCTCAGTAACACGCGTGTTATTCAGCTGAAAAAACAGCCACCAAATTAACAAATGCCGTCATGCAGAAGTGTTGAGGTTTATTATGAGCCAGTGTAGCATTATTTCACACCAGTATGTTGTTTTTGACAGAAAAGTTTTAGAAGCATGAAAAATTATAATAAAAAAAAAACTTGGCATTTGTTTGACTAGTCCAAACTCTGTACTCAGTGATGTCGCAGCTGTTAAAGTACTAACTATTGATAACTATTAAATTGCTTCATTGCTTCATTGTTATTGAGTTATCCCTTTAAAGTTATTTTAGTTTGAACTCTGGCATGAAAGACAGTTGCAGGGTTGCCAGATATAAAATGTTGTACTGTTGCTTTAGAATTCTTAGGAGCATGCACATGGGAGGAGCGTGGTTGTGCCTGGCCAGCACATGGACATGATGATTTGTGGATGTTAATGTGAATAAAATTAAAAACACAAAGAGGAGGTATGTGGCTGCAGTTAGAGAGGACATGGAGGTAGTTGGAGTGAGGACAGAGATGGAGGAGGACGACTCGCTGAAAGAAAAAGAAGATTGTATATCTGGACTTTTTATTAACGAGTGGTTCTCTATCATATAGTCCAGGGCTATTTGTCTAAATTACTCAGGGGGCCACAGTTACTAAGAGCCAAGAGCTCAGGGGCCGGATATCCAGCACTTCTCGTCATTACGCTTGTTTTATGGTTTAAAATCTATTTTTATTTCAAACTGAACCCACTGTTGAGCCGAACTGAGTTCATCCGTGGGCCTGACTTGGCCCTTGGACCACCAGATGAATAGCCCTGATATAGACAATAAAACTCATATAAATATGATGATTATCCTGCATCTGGCAACACTGGATAAGCATTCTTCAAAAACTGCTAGGATTTTAACCGCCGGTACCTTTTTTAACATTTAGTATCAGTTTGTGTTTGAATCCATAAAGTTGGTTTTAGTTCATTTGCAGCTGTTTGTATGTTTTGCTCTCCAGGTACAGGAAAGTCCTTCCTGCTCAAGAGAATTATGGGATCTCTGCCACCTAAAAGCACTTTTGCGACAGCGAGCACAGGAGTGGCTGCGTGTCACATCGGAGGAACAACGCTGCACAACTTTGCCGGTCAGTCGTTTGTTGTGGTGCCTGACAGGAAGTCAGATTTTAAACCCGCATGGATGGTTCTGAGTGTGTGGGGGCTTGCAACACGTCAGGATGGAAAAGATTGGACAGTTTTCAGGTTTTGACAAAAAAGTATCTTTAAATTAGAATGTAAAATGCGCATAAACAAATTATTTCTTTTTCTGGTAACAAGAAACACAAATTTGCTGCTCTGTTAACTTTTTTTTAACAACTAAATTGATTTTAATATAATTACTGACCTCTTTCTGTCAACAAACTTCTCTTTTGTCAAACCTCCAGAATTAATGTTAAAACTGAATTTGTAGCAGTGAAAGTTTAAAATAAATAAATATTCACTTTAGTTAAATTTCTAAATGTTTATAAATGTAATGCATTTTGGGTTCTTAGTGTTTTAAAGCAGAAATCTATGCTTGACTTGAAATAAGCAGTAAGTAAGAGAGCATTTTATCTTCTGAATATTGTGTGAATACTGAGTCATTTATTTGAACAAAACTTTCAGAAAGTGTGAAAGTTTCAAATTCTCCGTCATGAACTGCATCGCTAATCGAGCAGATGTTTAGATTTATGACACGTTAAAAAGTGATAAGTATGCAGAAGTAGCTTGACTACAAATTCAAACCTACAATAGAAACCAGAAAACGCATACTAATTTAGATTTTACCTACACTTTTGCTGATTTTAGTTAGCCTTAAGCTACTATTTTGTTTTGCTTTTTTAGCTCTTAGCTATATTTTTGCTAATTTTGGACCATAGTTATATTTCCTTAATTATGGTTTTGCTGATTTTAGCCTTAAGCTACTATTTTGTTTAGCTTTTTTGGACTTTGCTAATTAGTTTTTGGTGATTTTGGTCTTAAATATAATTTTGCTGATTTAGCCCTTAAGTCCTTCCATTATACTTTAACATAGTTTGTTTTGTTCTTTAGCTATGGTTTAGCAGATTTTAACCTTTAGCTACAAATTTGGCTTTTAGATACAATTTTGCTGACTTGAACTTTTAGGTACAATTTTGTTCATTTTTATTATTTAGCTTCACTTCTTGCTTTTTGATGCAACTTTAATGGTTTTGGCTTTAGCCACAGTTTTGCTGATTTTGGCCTTTAGCTATATTTTTGCTAATTTGGGTCTTTAGCTACAATTTTGCTCTTTAGCTACAGTTTTGCTGATTTTGGCTTTTAGCTATGAGTCTGGCCTTTAGCTATAGTTTTGCTTATTTTAGTTTTTAGCTACAATTTAGGTCATTAGATACAGTTTTGCTGATTTTGGCCTTTAGCTACAGTTTTGCTGATTTCGGCTTTTAGCTTTGAATCTAGCCTTTAGCTAATTTTGCTGATTTGGGCCTTTAGCTTTGAATCTAGCCTTTTAGCTAGTTTTGCTGATTTTGGCCTTGAGTTGTGAGTTTGTTGATTTTGCCATTGAGCTATAATTTATCTGATTTTAGCCGTTAAGTTATGGTTTTGCAAACTTTAGTTTGTAGCTGCTGTTTGACTGAATTTTAGCTTCTGATATTTCAGTTAATTTATTTTTAAACAAACATCAGCTGCTGTTCGTTACTTGACGATCTGTCCCTCCTGCCTCTCTCGGTGCTGTTCACGGTCTGCTCCAGGTATCGGCTCCGGCTCGGCTCCTCTGGAGCAGTGTATCGAGCTGGCACAGCGGCCCGGCGTGCTGCGCCACTGGACCTCCTGTCGTCACCTCATCATCGATGAGGTCTCCATGGTGGACGCTCAGTTCTTTGACAAGCTGGAGTGTGTTGCCAGGTGAGGATGCAGCTCTGAGGCAGCTGAAGGGAAGGTTCAGTACGAGTCGGAGAAGCAGATGAATTTGTATGACCATGGTAGTGTTTTTAATCCTTCTAAAAAAAGTTTCTGAAAATTGTGTATTTCAAACATTTTGCCAACCTCTGACGATCTTGATTTGGAGAACCACAGTGTACCTTCTTCCTCACTGAGTAAATCTACAGGATGAATGTGTTTAATAAAGTGTTGATGTGACCCAACACTCATCTTAGACCCCACAGATTTCTTCTGAAGCACTCGCACCATTGTCTCTGGTGCCTTTCTTGGCACATAACTTGTTCTGCAATGTTCGTGCTTTGTCAACAACATGTTCAGCTCATTCAGGATATTTCTGCTATGACTTTTAGTGTTTGTACAATTTTTACTTTTTGAAATATTTAGTTTTGTCAGCCATGTTTTTCCCATTTAAAATGACCTCTAGGGCAGCACGGTGGCGCAACTGGTAGAGCTGCTGCCTCTCAGTGAGCAGGTCCCTGGTTCAAACCCCGGTCCAGGGGCCTTTCTGGGTGGAGTTTGCATGTTCTCTCCGTGCATGCGTGGGTTTTCTCCGGGTGCTCCAGTTTCCTCCCACAGTCCAAAAACATGCATGTTAGGCTGATTGGTAACTCTAAATTGTCCCTAGGTGTGAGTGAGAGAGTGAATGGTTGTTTGTCTCGTTTGTCTCTATGTGGCCCTGTGATGGACTTGCGACCCGTCCAGGGTGTACCCCGCCCCTCGCACAGTGATTGCTGGACATGGGCACCAGCGACCCCCGTGACCCAAAATGGAACAAGCGGGTAAAGAAAATGGATGGATGAAAATGACCTCTTCATGTCCTTGAAGCACGTTGTGCTGTTAAAGACCTTTTCCTGCTCCTTTCAGCTTTTGTTATGCTTCAGAATTTTTTTTCTTCTGCTTTTCAAAAGTCATTTTAAGTACCGGTATATTTTGGCCTTTCTCCTTTATTTTGTTGTTGCTGTTTTTCATCTTTTTGCGCTGCTTTCTAACTTCATAATTTTATGCTCCTTTCACCATCTTTTGGCTCATTTCACTTTTTAAAAAGTAATAACCTTTTGCTACATTTTTGGCCAATCCCAGATTTTTCCTGCTCATTTCAGTTTCTTTTTGCTAATAGTGTGAATGCTTCTGAAGCATAAGCTTCAGATGTTCTGCCATTTCAGCTACTTTTAGCTGTTTTGAGCTCAATTTTTATTTTTCAGGTAATTTCACTTTTTTTTTATCATTTCAGCTTTTTCCACTTCCTTCTAGTAGTTTAAGAAGAAAAGTTTCTGACTTTTCAGCTACTTTTTTAGCTAATTTCCTATTTTTTGTGCTCATTTCTGCTTATTTAAACCTAATTCAGTAAATATGTGTTAAGTCCAAGTGCAACGTATTTGTGGATCTTTCATTAAAGCTGCAGCCGCTCAGCTGAATTTCTCAACTAATTATCACCTGCTGTTGAAGGTGCAGGCAGAGGGATAATGTTTTTGCAGGCGTCCTTGTTTATTTCTGTACAATCTTCAAAAACTGGCAACAAGGATATTGGTCTGTAATAGTTAAACACACGTTTTTCACCATTTTTAAAAAGAGGAATTACCTTGGCTATTTTCATGGTCATATTCCTGTTGATAAGGATAAACTACATCTATATGTAAACGGCTCAATAACATAATTCATTATATTCTTTACAAACATCCTATCCATGTCCACCCAATCTTTTGATCTTTTGTCTGCAAGATTTTTTACAATATTCATTATTTTTTCTTTATCAGTTCCATCAAGAAAAATACTGTTGGCACAACCTGTAACTGTATGACTCACATTTGTATCTACTTTTGGTATTTTAGTTGCGAGACTTGGGCCAACATTCACAAAATAATGATTGAATCCATTTACAATTTCATTCTGATCATGGATTTATTTACCATCCTTTACAAAATACTGTGGAATACCTGATTGTACTTCATGATTTTTCAGGACACTATTCATTATTTGCCATGTTTCCCTCATATTACCATTACTTTTGTCTAATAAATCACTGTAATATTCCTTCTTAGGCTTTCTTATAGTCCATTCCAACTTCTTTTTATACTTCTTGTATCTCACTTCTGCTTTAAAAACAGACAGGGAAGTGGCCTGTCTGATGTTCAAGGGAAGGTGGTTCCACAGTTTAGGAGCTGCCACAGCAAAAGCACGGTCTCCTCTTGTAAGGATGGTACTTTTCTGTGGCCCGGTTTGTGTCTGTGTTCCCTCGTGCTCCCTCATTAGTTCTATTAGTACCACCCGTGTCTCGTCCCAGCTGTCTGTAATCATGTCTCGTCTTGTCTCTGTATATAAGCCGTCTGTTCTGTCTTGTTCATTGTCGCGTCGTTCTCGTTGGGTCTCCTGTGTCTTCCCCTGATTCTTCCTAGTTCCTCGAGTCTCCCGTGTCTCCTGAGTACTCCTGAGTTTCCCGTGCCTCCTTCCTATGTTCATGTAAGTTTTGCTGCCCCGTCAGCTTGTTGTTTTGTACTTTCATTTATCATTAAATTCCTATTTTTGTAACTCTGCCGAGTTGAGTCCCTGTTCTGCACTCTGGGTTCACTCCTGACCACAAATCCTAACACCTCTGAGCTTACACTTTGTCTTTGGCACACTCAGGAGCAGCTGATCACATGACCTGAGGGATCGAGAGGATGTGTACGGATGTAGCAACTCAGACAGATAGGGCGGGGCAGTCCATTTAGAGCAAATCAAGTCATTTTCAAATGAATCCTAAAATGTATGAGCAGCCAGTGCAGGGAGGATAAAACAGGAGAAATGTGGTCAAACTTTCATTTGCCAGTTAAAAGCTGTGCAGCAGCATTCTGTACCCGCTGACAGATGCATGCGTCACTGATTTCTGTATAGAGTACATTACAACAGTCCAGCTGAGTGGTCACAAAGACGTGAACTAATGTTTCAAAATGCAGCTGAGAAAGAATCAGCTTCACTTTAGCTGCCTCAGACGGAAAAAACTTGTTTTAACAACAGCTCTGGTGTGGTTTTCTAATTTTAGTCCAGCATCAACTTTGACCCCCAAGTTTGTAACAGTGGCCAGATGGCATCCATCCATCCATCCATCCATCCATCCATCCATCCTCTTTACCTGCTTCTCCTTTTTGGGTTGCGGGGGTCACTGGTGCCCATATCCAGCAGTCGCTGTACGAGAGGTGAGGGACTCCCTGGACAGGTTCAAGTCCATCACAGGGACACAAAGAGACAAACAACCATTCACTCTCTCACAGTCTCACACCTTAACAATCTCTATCTCGGCTCCATGGGGGGATTTGGTAGGCGGGGCACTCAATACTGTTGACAGGTTGGGGCACTGTAGGATAATGGTAGGGAAATGCTGACATGTGTGTGGGGGGTTGGGGGGGTTGTTTCAGGTTACATTGTGAGGACCAAAGCCTGGTCCCTATAAGAAGTCCCGTTGGTGGGTCAGGGTCCGGCTGTGGAAATGGATGGAAGTCAATGCAAAGTCCCCTCAAAGTCAGAAATACAAGACCGTGCTTGTGTGTGCGTGCGTGTGCATACATACAGTTCCCTCAGTGACGGGGGATATCACGTATCACTCCTCTTTTTTCTTTTTGAATTTCCAAGGTTTTACAAACATTTTATGTTGCTACCTGCATCTTATTAGCAACTTTTCAGGTTTGGTGCTCAGATTGTAATCACTTTGTTTATCAAATCCAAAGTGATTCCACTGTTGAGGAAGTCAGAAAATAACTAGAATAATCACTGTGAAAAACCATATCATGTTGCTGCTGATCTGTTTCATGTTGCTGCTGATCTGTTTCAATGTTGATGTGTTCATGCGTGCACATCTGCTCACAGACTCATGTTCATGTTTGTGGTGATGTTCAATGTTTTATGTTATGAGTGCTTAGTGTATATTTAGTTGATGTTTTTCTTAGTTCATATCTTAGATGTTATTACTGTTTTTCTTATACATTTTATTGTTGGATGTAACTGGGACCCCGTGTACATAATTTCGCTCCACCACATGTACCACATGAGGTGCGAATGACAATAAAGAAACTCTGACTCTGACTCTGACTCTGAAAATGGTTAATTTCAACGTGCTTAAAAAGCTGTCTGTAACCCCATCTCTCACACACACACACACACACACACACACACACACACACACACACACAC